CGGGGCACCGGCTCCGCGGTGCGGTGGCGGGGATGTGCCAGGAGGCCAAGCCAGGGAGCTGGGGCAGCTTGGGAGCCGGGGTGCAGAGCCCCCTCCACGCCACGCCGTGCCGAGGGCAGGTGGAAGGGGTCCAGGCAACAGCTCCGGGGCTGGTGCGGTGGGGCGGTGCGGCTCAGGGGTCCAGGCTCTGGCTGTCCGGCGCCGAGCAGCAGGGAGCCCGCGATGTCCTCCTCCGTCTTGCCTGCCGGCACACCAGCTGCAGTGCGCCGCAGGGACAGGGTGGTCTCCTCCTTCGGGGTGCAGGGGATGAAGCCGGCAGGGTTAATTACAAAAGAGTCGCTAAGTGGTTAGATCAAAAAGATGGAACTGTTTTCCTGGTTTCCAGCTCTGCCTCGTGGTGTCCGAGCAGCTGGGTGGGATCGGCTCTGCAGAGGGCAGGAAGGGCAGCAGGCTGCCGGGGCGGCAGATCTGGGAGGGTAGTGTGTTTTCTCTCTCATCTCTTAATATACAAATACTGTCAGAACAATCGTATATATTAATATATTAGTCTAGTCTTTTTGGTTAAACTTTAGGCACTGCTTTGGAAGAAGAATGGAGTTTAAAAATTAAAAAAAATACTAGTGATTAGCCAGCAGCGTTGCCACATGCGGAGCAGGCGAGGTGGTGGGTTCCTCAGGAAGGGGCCGGCAGGTTTCAGGCCACGCGGACCGGGGGCCCATGCAGCCCGGGATGCTCCCCACTCGCCTCCTGCCCGCAGCTCCTGCTCAGGAGGGACAAGGTGAGGGTGAGGGCGGCCGCCTCCACGGCGCTCTGGGGACCCCCAGTGTATCTGCGCCCAAAGCTTGAGGAAGAGTAGGAGGAGGAAGAGAAGGTCATGGAGAAGCCGGAGCCGGTGGCGTCGAAGCTGCCTCGCCTGGAGCCCGACCGGGACCCGGTCCGGGAGCCCGACCGCGAGCCGGAGGTGGAGCCAGCGCTGCTGACATTGTAGGGGCTGTAGTAGCCCTTGCTGGACTGGGAGGAGGCCTCCAGCAGCCGCAGGCCTGTCCCGTCCTCAATCATGCTTCGGTCCATCGCGTCCTTGTAGGAGATCTTGAGCTTGGTTTTGGGGCAGGTGAGATACTTGGAGTAGGTGTTCACATCCCGCAGCTTCTGGGCCGTGCGCGTGTCGATGGTGCCCTTCTGCAGCGCCTCGTCCAAGGAGACACGGCCCTCGACGTCAGGCTCGATCAGGCCCCCCGTCAGGTACTGCACCTCCAGGAAGCGCTGCCCGGCCTCGTAGTACAGCCAGCCCTTCTTCAGGGCCTGGGCCGCTGACATCTTCGTCTTGGTCCGTGGGTCCTCGAAGCCATAGAAGGCCTTCTGCGCCAGGTTGATGCGGTCTACCATGATCTTGTCGACCAGGCCCTTGTTCACCGCGTCGGCGACGGAGCACTTATCCCCAGTGTTGGGGTCGATGATGCCCCCAGTGCAGGCCTGGGCTTCCAGCAGCCTCTGCCCGGTGATGTTATCCACGAGGTTGCGGCGCATCGCCTCTGTGATGGACACCTTCTCCAGAGTGTCTGTGTCCAGGATGCCTGCCACTGGCCCAGTCTCCTCAGTCGGGTCGCTCCACATAGATATCTGCGTTCGCGTGGGGGCCGGGCTGACAGTGTAGGAGGAGGATGATCCCACGGAGGACGACCGTGACCGGAAGCCGCTCATGTTGCCAGAGAGCATGTCTGCAAACTCGGTGATGGAGAGGGTGCCTGAGCGGTACTGGTCCAGGGCCGACTGGTCGATCAGGCCCTTGCTGATGGCATCGTCGATGTCGTACTGGCGCCCTGAGCGTCTGTCGATGATCATTGACTTCACCACGCCATCAGAGGAGGAGGTGGTGATCTCCTCCCACTCACACTCCTGCTCCGACAGCTCCAGGTAGGTCTGGTGGTCGATGAGGCCCTTGCGATAGGCTTCGTACACAGACATCTCCTTGCCTGTCTCCGGGTCGACAATCACCACCCTGCGCTTGCGGACAGAGGACTTGGAAGAAGTCTTCCTCTCCCGCTTCTTCTCCTTCAGGGGCAGGAGGCAGAGGCCAGTCTCTGGGTCAGTGATGCACCGCTCCATGAGCTGCAGGTAGGTGAGGTTCTCCTCTGTGTTCGGGTCGAAGAAGCCCTTGGTATCATCGCTGGGATCCAGCAGGATCTCATTCATCTCCTCATCGAAGAGGCCCCTCTTGTAGGCAATCTCCACAGGGAGGCGGTGGCTTTCCTCGGGATCAATTATGCCTCCCGTTGCAATCTGGGCCTCAAGCAAGCGGATCCCATGGTCCTTCAGGATCAGACCCTTCTTCATGGCCTGGAAGAGGGAGATGAGCTTTCCAGAGTAGGGATCCCGGTAGCCAGTGACTGCCCTCTCAGCAGAGAGCAGCTTGTCCTTGAACTCAGGGCCCACAATGCCCATCCGCACAGCTTCCTCCACTGTCAGCTTGAGGCCCTTGATGGGGTCAATTACATACCCCGTGGCTGCCTGCGCCTCCAGGAGCTCAAACGCGGTGCCTGGCCTGATGATACCCTTCTTCATGGCCTGGTACACGGACAGCCGCTCCTTCGTGGAGTCCACAAAGACGCCAGCAATGCAGCTGGTGCCCTCCAGGAACTTCTTCAGGTTCTTAGAGACCTCCTCGATGGAGGTGAGGCCTTCCTGGAGGCGCTGGGCAGTGGCTTCGTCCATCACCTGTGAACGGACCAGCTCCTCCACAGTGATCTGCTTCCGCAGCCCCCGGAAGGTGAGCTTCCTTGTGTCACAGAGTGGGAGCAGGAGGAGCCCGCTGTTCTCATCCTTCCGGCACCGCTTCAGGAGCTGTGTGTAGCTGAGCTTCTCCTCCGTGGATGGGTCCACGTAGCTTCGCACCTCACTGGGCTCGGACAGCATGTCGTATGTGTCCTTGTTGATGAAGCCCCGCTGGCAGGCCACCTCCAGGGGCAGATGGAAGCCCAGGTGCGGGTCAATGATGCCACCGGTGGCTATCTGGGCGTCCAGGAGCTTGAGGGCCTCTTCGCTGGGAATGAGATCTTTCTTCATGGCCTGGAAGATGGAAATCTTCTGTTCGCTGTACGGGTCTCTGTAACCGGTCACAGCCCTCTCTGCGGACAGGAGCCGGTCATGGATTTCAGGCCCCACCACACCCTTCCTGACCGCTTCGTCAACGGTCAGCATCTCATTCTTTGTGGGGTCGATCATGAAACCGGTGGCAGCCTGGGCCTCCAGGAGGGAGCGGGCCACTTCGGAGTTGATCAGCCCCTTCTTCAGTGCCTGGTAGATACTCAGCTTCTGCTTGGAAGAGGGGATGTAGATGCCAGCCACACAGCCTGACCCATAGAGGTACTTCCAGATAATCTCCACATCCAGGAGCTCCCGGAAGGTTTTGGAGCCCTGCTTCAGCAGGTTGTAGATGTCTAGCGAGATGATCTTGGCCTCGTAGAGGTCCTCGGCCGTGATGCGGCGCCGGATGTAGTCATAGGATGTGAGATTCTGCTGCCGGATGATTTCAGTCTTCTCAATGATCTCAATGATGATGATGATCAAGCGCTCCTTGGACACACGGCCGGACTGGAACTCCTCCATGAGCTGCTTCCGCTGCTCTTCAGGCAGCAGGTCTGAGTGCATGATCTCCCACAGCGACATGGAGGAGCCCGCCTTGGTGCCCACAGGGATGTCCACCTGTGTCTCCTCAAACACCTTCCGCGTCTCTGCCTCTGTGTACACCTGGGTGGTCTCTACCACTGTAGGCTTCTCAGGCTCCCGCAGAGGCAGCAGATACAGGCCCGTCTCAGGATCCTCGATGCACTTCTCCTTCAGCTGCAGGTAGGTGAGGTTCTTGTGGGTGTTGGGGTCAAAGAAGCCCTTGGTGTCATCAGTGGGGTCGGAGAGGGTTCGGTTCATTTCCTCGTCGAAGTAGCCCCGCTTGTAGGCCACCTCCACAGGGAGGCGGTGGCTGTGCACGGGGTCGATGATGCCACCGGTGGCGATCTGGGCCTCGAGCAGGCGGATGCCGTGCTCCTTCACGATGAGTCCTTTCTTCATGGCCTGGAAGAGGGAGATGGTGTTGCCCGAGTAGGGGTCCTTGTACCCAGTGACAGCCTTCTCGGCAGACAGCAGCTTCTCGTGCAGTTCAGGCCCGACGACACCAGCCTTCACAGCCTCATTGACATACAGTTTCCGGTTCTTCACAGGGTCGATCAAGAACCCAGTTGCTGCCTGAGCCTCCAGGAGGACCACGGCGGTGCTGGGCCTCAGCAGGTTCCTCTTCATGGCCTCATAGATGTTCAGCTTCTCCTTGGTCGCCTCCACGTAGACACCAGCAATGCAGTCACTGCCATGCAGGAATCTCCTCACCGCATCTGTCTCAGAGAGGTCCTTCACTGATTTCTTGCCTTCCTTCAGCTGCTCGTACTGGGCTTTGCTGATGATGTGGGACTCCACCAGCTCGCTGGCAGGTACAGGTGCCCGGAGACCGCTGAATGTCAGCTTCTCCTGCTTTTTGGTCTCTGCCTCCTCGATAATGGTGATCACGATCTTGATGATCTTTTCAATGGTCACCTTGCCAGTCTTGTACTGTCGGAGGAGCTCCCGCCTGTGCTCCTCTGTGAAGTACTCGGAGTGGATTAGCTCCCAGATGGTCATTGTCTGGCCCTTCATGCTGCCCACTGGGACCTCTACGGTTGCCTTGTCAAAGCGCTCCTTCGCCTGGCTGTCTGTGTAGACCTCCTCCTGCTGTGACTGGATGGCTTTGTCTGACAGGGGCAGCAGGCAGAAGCCAGTCTGCTTGTCACGGTGGCAGTTCTTCTGCAACTGGGCATAGGTGAGGTGCTCTTGGGTGTTGGGACAATAGAAAGCCTTGGTGTCATCTCGGAGGTCAGACAGAGCCTCATTTATCTCCGGGTTGAAGTAACCCCGCTTATAGGCGACCTCGAGCGGGAGCCGGTGGCTGTTCACAGGATCGATGATGCCTCCGGTGGCGAGCTGGACATCCAGCAGACGCATCCCGGTATCGCTGGGGATGAGGCCCTTCTTGAGCGCTTGGAAGAGGGAAACCGTCTGGCCCGTATAGGGATCCTTGTAGCCAGTCACAGCCTTCTCTGCAGACAGCAGCTTCTCATGAAACTCCGGCCCCACCACCTCGGCCTTCACTGCCTCATCAACAGAGAACAGCTTGTTCTGCACAGGGTCAATGATGTAGCCGGTGGCAGCCTGCACTTCCAGCAGGGACAGGGCAATCTCTGGCTTCAGCAGGTTTCTCTTCAGGGCATCGTAAAAGGTGAGCTTCTGGCCAGTCGACTCCACTAGGACACCGGCAATGACATCCGTGCCCTTCAGGTACTGCCGCACAGACTCCATCTCCGCCACGTCCTTCACAGACTTCTTGCCCTGGTGCAGCTGGTTGTAGAGGTCCTTGTTGATTATTTTGCTATCCAGCAGCTCAGCGGCAGGCACAGGGGCCCGGAGGCCCTCGAAGCACATCTGGCTCTTTTTCTCGCTTTCTTCCACAACCGTGATGATGATCTTAATGATCTTCTCCACTGTGATCTTGCCAGTCCTGTACTGCTGGATCAGGTCCCGCCTTTGGTCCTCAGTGAAGTATTCAGAGTTGATGACCTCCCAGATGGTCACGGTCTTCCCTTGGAACTTGCCGAACGGTGCCGTCACCGTGGCCTTTTTAAAGACGTCCTTAGCTTCTTTGTCAGTGTAGACCAGCTCTCTTGCTTTGGTCGCCTGGTCAGTGAGCGGCAGGAGGCACAGCCCCGTGTCCGGGTCAGTCACGCACCGCTCCATGAGCTGCAGGTAGGTGAGGTTCTCCTGTGTGTTGGGGTCGAAGAAGCCCTTGGTGTCGTCGGTGGGGTCAGAGAGGACCTGGTTCATCTCCTCATCGAAGTAGCCCCTCTTGTAGGCAGCTTCTACAGGCAGGCGGTGGCTGTTGACGGGATCGATGATGCCGCCAGTGGCGATCTGGGCCTCGAGCAGGCGGATGCCGTGCTCCTTGACAATGAGCTCCTTCTTCATGGCCTGGAAGAGGGAGATCTGGTCGCCTGTGTAAGGATCCTTGTAGCCGGTTACTGCCCGTTCAGCAGCCAGCATCTTATTGTGCAGTTCTGGCCCAATCACTCCCTCTCTCACTGCCTCATTCACTGAGAGCCTCGCGTTTCGCACAGGGTCAATTATGAAGCCGGAGGCAGCCTGCGCTTCCAGGAGGACCAGCGCGGTGCCTGGGCTGAGCAGCTTCTTCTTCATGGCTTCATAGATGCTCATCTTTTGATTGGTGGGTTTGATTAACAAACCAGCGATGCTGCTCTTGCCCTGCAGGTACTTCTTGATGTCTTCCCTCTGCGAGAGCTCTCCAACACTCACGACGCCCTTCGCCAACTTGTCTAAGCTCTCCTTGCTCAAAATGCCAGCGTCAGCCAGCTTCTCTGCAGATACCTTCTGACGGATACCGTCAAACGCAAACTCTGGCTCCCCGTTCTGCGCCAAGCCATCCACCACCTCTCTGCCATTGGGCACAGCTTTGGTATCTGACAGCTGCATCGTCATAACCATGGTCTCCTCGGGCAGGTCGTCCGTCTGGATCATGATCTCTCGTGTCTGGGCCAGGGCAGCCTTGTACTCTTCCTGCATTTGCTCGAGCCTCTCCCTGAGCTTCTTGTTCTCCTCTTCCAGGAGTTTCTCCTGCTGCTGCCGCTGTCTCTCCAGCTGCTGCAGCTCCTCCTGCTTGTGCCGGACATTTTCCTCTGCTTCTTGCTGATGCTTCTTGGCTTCGTCCAGCATGGCTTTCAGCTGCTGCTTCTCCTGCTCCATCTCCTTCTGCTGCCGCTCCTGCTCTGCCTTCAGGTTCTGGGCTTTGTTCACCTCATCTTTAAAGAGCTTCTCCAGCTTTGTTTTCTCTTCCTCGATGAACTTCTCCTTCTGCAGCAGGGCGTCCTTCTCCGTCAGGAAGGTCTGCTGGAGGAGCTGTGTCTCCTGGCGGAGCTGTGCCTGCTGGGCCACCTGCATCTGGGGTGGGAGAGAGGACAGCACAGTCAGATGGCACCATCTACCCAGGACGGCAGCATCGGTGGGGCAGCAGAGGCGGGCAGGGGTGAGAGGACAGGCAGCGGGGGTGGTACCAGGCTGGTAGGGGTGCAGAGTCACCCAATCACTCTGCTACGCTGGTTAAGAGTTAAGGGAGCAGAGCTGGGGTTAGGGAGCCACAGCAAACAACACGTGGGTGGAACGAGCAGGGAAAAGACACGAGCTCTTCTGCAGGCATCAGGGACTCCCCACCCGGTACCGAGGCTGGGAGCTGGGGACGGCTCTTGTCTACGGAGAGGAATAAGGCAGGATGCGCCACCGGGCTGAAAAGCCGGCGCAGGTGATGGGGAGTGCCCCTCCATAGCAGGAGCTGCTGGCAGCAGGAGAGGGCAGGGGGTGGGAGGTCCTGCTCCAACATCTCCCTGCTGGGTTTGCCTCGCTGCACCTGATGCTGGCTCTGCGCACACTCTTGACCTGCCCCACAAGCAGATGCTCACCGTGACCCCTGGTAGGGGGGACCCTGGGGCAGGAAGCTCAGTGACGCCTCTGCCTACCGGATGGTGCCAGCAGCCAGCTCCGCGCCTACGCCCGCCGGGTGCAGGCTGCAGCTCCAGGGCTGGAGGCTGCACGCCTGTGCTGCAGCGACGGTCATCAGGGACCAGCCAGCGCAGCTCCCAGAGCCTGGCCAGCTGCCCACGTGCCTGCTGTCCCGGGACACAGCACGGGGCGGCTGGGGAGAGGGAAGGACTCCCTGCGTACCACCACCGCTAAGGGGGACCCATAGCCCAGTACCTCCTCTGCCTTCTGCTGCAGCAACGCCGCCTCCTGTTTCAGCTTCTCCTTCTCCTGCTCCAGGTCGGCGATGGCCCTCCGCAGCTTCTCTGCATCCTGATCACTCTGGTGCCGCTGGATCTCCAGAGTGTGCACCAGCGTCATCTTCTCCTGCGTGGCCAGCTCAGTCTCGTGCAGCCTTTCGCTGATCTCCTCTGCCTGCTTCTTGAACCGCTTGGCTTCCTCCTCGGCCTTGGCCTGGGCCATGCTCATCTCTGCCACGTGCAGTTTGAGGCGCTCAGCCTCGGCCGTGATCTCCAGCTGCCGCCGGCGCTCAGCCTCCAGGGTTTTCTGGAAACCCTCGGTCTCCTCGGCCAGGCGCTGCTGCATCTGCTCCTTGTCCTCCTGCAGCCGCTTGGCATGCTCCTGCGCCAGGTCCTTCTGCTTCTGCAGCATCTCCGCCTCGGCCTTCAGCCGCGTGGCCTCCTGCACTGCCTGCATCTTCTCCTTGAGCATCTTCTCTGCCAGTGCCCGCTGCTGCGCCAGGTCGTCCTCAGCCAGCTTCCGCATGCGGGCGGCCTCCTGGGCCTCCACACTGAGCCGGGCAACCTCCTCCGCCACCTGCTTCATCTTCTCGGCCTCCTCCGCCAGAAACTTCTGCGTGTTGTCCTTGTCCTTGAGGATCAGTGCCTTGTTCTCCTCCTCAATCCGGCTCTTCAGCTTCGCCAGCTCCTCCATCTGCACCCGGACCTTGAAGAGCTCCTCCTCCACCTGGGCCTTCTGCCGGACGGCGTCGGTCACCTCCTCCTTCAGCCGCTGCAGCTCCTCATCCAGAATGCCCTTCTGGTGGTCTGTCTCGTCCAGCTGCAGCTTCACCTTGGTCAGCTCCTGCTCCACCTGTGCCTTCTGCCGCAGCGTCTGCTCGGCAAACTTCTTGTGCTTCTCCATCTCAGCATCTGCCAGCTGCTTCTGCCGCAGGGCCGCCTGCTCCGCCTGCGCCCGCTTTGCCGCCTCCAGCTCGGCCTCCTTCCGCAGCTTCTCCGCATCCGCCTGCGCCTGCGCCTTGGCCTGCGCCTCCTCCTCCGCCTGCTGCTTCAGCCGCTCGGCCTCCTCCACCCGCTGCCGGGAGAGGCTGGCGTCCTGCTCGGCCTTACTGCGAGCGAACTCTGCCTCCTCTGCCGCCCGCCTGGCCCGCTCGGCCTCCTCCCGCAGCCGGTCCAGGAGGCTCTGCTCCTGCTGCCGTGTCTGCAGCAGCTCCTGCTCCTTCTGCTGCACAGCGGCCAGGTGGGCCTTCTCCTCCGCCGCGATCCGCTTCTGCGCCGCCTCCCGTGCCAGCTGGATCTGCCGCTCCGACTCCTTCTCCGCCAGCTCCTTCTGCCGCCTGGCCTCCTCCACCATGGCCTTCAGCCGCTCCACCTCCTCTAGAGCCAGCCGCCGCTGCCGCCCGGCCTCCTCCTCGGCCGCCAGGATGGCCTGCACCTTCTCCTCAGCCTCCCGCCGGCGGCCCTCCTCCTCCAGCGCCAGTGCCCGCTGCCGCTCGGCCTCCCGCTCGGCCTGCTCCCGGCTGCGCTGCACCTCCTCTGCCTCCCCGCGGATGCGGCTCAACTCCCGCTCCAGGTCGGTCTTGCCCGCCGAGGCCTTCTCGAAGCTGGCCTTCAGGGCGCGGATCTCCTCCTCCACCTGGCGCCGCTGCCGCAGCGTGTCCTCCACCAGGCTCTTCTGCCGCTCCAGCTCGCTCTCCGAGGAGCGCTTCAGCATGGCGATCTTCTCCTCGATGTCCTGCTTGTGCTGGGTGGCCTGCTCCTCCAGCAGCTTGCGCTGGTAGGCCTCGTCCTCCGCCAGCCGCCGCAGCCGCTCGTTCTCCGCCTCCTTCTCCTTCAGGGCGATCTCTGCCTCCGCCTTCAGCCGCGAGGCCTCGTTGATGGCCGCCAGCTTCTCCTTCAGGATGCGCTCAGCCTCGGCTCCCCCCCCGCCAGGGCCCGCAGCCGGGCAGCCTCCTCGGCCAGCTCCCGCAGCTTGCTGGCCTCGGCCTCCAGCCGCTGCTTGGACTTCTCGCTGGTGGAGCGCGACTCCTCCTCCGTCTTGGCCTTGCTCTCTAGCAGGATCTCCATCTCGGCCCGCAGCTTGGCCAGCTCCTCCTCCACCTCTTTCCTCTTCTGGATGGCCTCGCTCACCTCCTTCTTCAGCCGGAAGAGCTCCTCCTCCAGGAGCAGGCGCTGCTGTTCCCTGTTGTCCATCTCCGCCTTCAGCCGGATCAGCTCCTGCTCCGCCGCCAGCTTCTGCTGGGCCGTGCCCTCCGCCAGCTCCCGCTGCTTCTCCAGCTCCTCCTCCGCCAGCTCCTTCTGCCGCAGGGCCGACTCCTCCGCCTTGGCACGCTTGCGGGCCTCCCGCTCCGCGTCCTCCTTCTGCTTCTCTGCCTCCTCCTGTGCCAACGCCTTCTTGTGGGCCACCTCCTCTGCCTGCAGCCGCAGCCGCAGTGCCTCATTGGCCTTCTGCCGCCAGTGCTCCAGCTCCTTCTCGGCCTCCTCCCGTGACTGCTCGGCCTCCAGCTGCTGCTTCTTCAGCCGCTCAGCCTCCTCCTGCAGGTGGGTCACTGTGATGTGCTCCTGCTGCAGCGACAGCTCCAGCTGCGCCGTCTTCTCGGCGAAGGACAGCCGCTTGCTCTGCAGCTCGGCCTCAGCGCTCCGCTGGGCCACCTCCTGGGCCACCTGGATCTGCCGCTCCTTCTCAGCCTCCGCCTGCCGCATCCGCCGCTCAGCCTCCTCCGCCTGCAGCCGCAGCTTCTCCAGGTCCGCCACTGCCTTCTGCTTCTCCCGCGCCGCGTCCCTCTCGGCCTGCACCTTGCGCTTCAGCTCCTCCTCTGCCTCCCGCTTCTTCTGGCTCTCCTCCTTCACCTGCCAGCGCAGGCGCTCAGCCTCCTCCTGAGCCTGCTTCTTCTGCCGCTCGGCTTCCTCGGCACGTGCCCGCAGGTCCTGCAGCTCCATCTCGGCACCTGCCCGCTGCTTCTCAGTGCTCTCCAGCTGGAGGCGGATGAGGCGGATCTCCTCCTCCACCTTCTTGCGGTTGTACTCGGCCTCCTCGATCAGCTTGACCTTGGACTTGATCTGGTGGTCTGAGTTCTGCCGCAGCTGCATCAGCTCCTGCTGGATGTTCTGCTTCTGCTGCTCGGCGTCCACGGCCACCACCTCCCGCCGGGTGACCTCCTCCTGCATGCGGAGCTGCAGCTCCCGCGCCTCCGCCTCCGCCTGCGCCTTGGCTTTGGCGTGGGCCTCGGCCAGCTGCCGCTGCTTCTCCAGCTGGGCCTCCACCTCCGCCAGCCGCTTCCTCTCCTCCTCCTTCAGCTTCTCGGCGGCTTTCTGGAGGGGAAAGAGGGTGCAGAGAAAATAGAGAGGGGAGAGAGAGAGAAATCACAAGGGATGCGACCGAGCCACAGCGTCAACGCCAGCCACAACCACGCACCACCGAGAGACGGGACAGTCCGGGGCGGAGGGGTGGAGGATGCGCATGGAATGGCTTCGGGTCCCTGGGCCTCCCCACAAGCTGGAGGCGGTGACGCCAGCTTCCAGAAGACGTATGGCAGACAGGGGACACACGACTACCGTGTCTCACTTAGCACAGTGCAGGAAGACGGGCGACAGCAGTGCAAGAAGCGGGATGGCCCATGTACCACAGAGAAGGGATGGAGCGCAAGCAAAGCCCGAAGTGAGGGAGACAGATGCAAGCAGCTTGCACGCCACCACCGTGCCCACTGCCCTCCGGGGAGGGCCCTGCGCCGGCCCCCTGCAGAGGGGAGCCTCCTCCTGTGCTTGCTGGGGCTCCCTGTGCAAGAGGGGCCGGCGCAGAAAGCCATCACCTTGGGGAAATCAGAGACCCAGCCGGAGCACCAGGGTGAGCAGGACAGAGGGGAGCGGGTGGCGAGGGAGGTGCCAGCGGAGCTTTCCCTGCCGGGAAAGCCTCGACGACATGGAAAGCAATCCAAGCTCCAGCCCGTGCTGCCCCAGCTGCTCCAAATCCCCCCCGCGCTGGCCCGCTCCAGGCAACCCCGCCAGCTGGCCGTCTGCCGAAGGGCTGACATGGCTCATGCATGGCTCAGGGCTGTGCCACAGAGTACTCGTGCCGCATGCACCATGAGCAAGGCAGGCGCACGCTCCGTGCAGGGCCTGGGCACAGGCAGTGTGCATGCGGGTGAGCCGGACCCCTGTGCCACGGGGATGGGTCCCCTCGTGCCACCCCGAGAGGTGCAGCGACGGCCTGGGAGCAGAGGCAGAGGAGGGCGAGGAGCACGGGAGCGAGCGGCTCTCCGGAGGGCAGGGGTGCAGTGGGCAGGAGGGGCGCGCAGGCTGCTGGCAACCATGGGGTGAGGCGGAGGGGTGCCGTGGGGAGGGGGACATGCGCAGAGTGAGTACCTGGTGCAGGGATGCCAGAGTCATCCTGGTTTTTTACCCTTCATTAGATCCCCACCAACACAAACATCCCCCAAGACAAAGCACTGGCAAAGCGGCTCGACTTCCAAGGGCAGAAACCAAGAGTTAGAAAGGTTACCAAGACAGAACACCCGAGGGCTCCAGTCCCGCGGCGCCCGAGCACAGCGTTCATGCGGAAGGCAGATGCTGACTGCACTACGTGTATCTGGGAAGTGCCTCCTACCACCAGTCACGCCAGAGCCCGGCAGCGCCCAGAGCCAGCTCTGCGTGCCTCTCCAGCCGGCTCTCGGCTCGGAGACCCGCTGCACCCAGAGCCAGCAGCTTCGGTCCCAGGAGCCCAGATCAGAGTGGAGTTAGAGGCCGTGGGCCAGCGTTAGTGATGGGGGGCCGGCAGTCATCATGAACCATGTTCCCCGTTGTTATGCCGGAAAGACAATGCTGGAGTCATGCCACCCCACGTGCCCGCACGCCGCTCCCCTACCTCCTCCTCCTCCAGCCGCCGTAGCGTCTCCGTGATGAACTTGATGTACTGGCTCGTGAGCGTGGTCAGCTCGCTGTACCGCGTCCGCAAGTCCACGTACTGCAGCAGACAGCGGGGGTCAGCAGGAGGGGAGCACGCCCGCGGCAGCCCCCGGCCCAGCTGCCCCGCACCCCGGCAGCGGTGGGGATGGACGGAGGTGAGCCTGCATGCCAGCCCTGCTGTGCCCACCCCTTCAGCAAGGGGCTGCAGCCCTCTGCTCCTGGGGAAGGAGCTGCCCGGGCTCAGCCGCACGCCGGGACCCGTCAGGCGCCCCAGGCCTGCACGCGGAGGGGCTCCCCCTCACCTCCTGGATGATGCTGTCGGACGCAGACTGCACTTTGGGCTTCTTGGCTGGAGAGGCCATCGGCTCCACCTGCGCCTTGAAGCTCACCAGCTGCAGCTCATAATCCTGCCGGTGAGAGGGGTCCTCAGCACGCCGGCCAGCATCCCCAGCAAGCCCCCCGGGCCCTTCGGGGCTGCCTGGCACTGGGCTGCCCCTCCCCAGCCCCACGCCTGCCCCGGCACCACCGGGGAGGCCAGCCCAGAGCGAGCAGGCACAGCCAGCGGGCGCACCTTGATGGCATCGATGTACTGCTTGGCGTAGCGCTGGCACTCCTCCACCTTCTCCTTGTTGCGGTCGCACTCCTCCAGGAGTTTCTGGGGAAACAAGCAGGGTTGAGCTTAGGTGCCCTGTGGCTGCCCTGCCATGGCCAGGGACGGCCAAGAGCACCGGCCAGGCCGGCCCCATTTGCCCCACCGCGGGCGCTACCTTCTCCTGCAGCAGCTGCTCCCGCACAGTCTTGCTGTCGGTGATGGGCACTGCCTGGATTTTCTCCTGCCGCTGCTTTGCATCCTGGATCCATTGGAGCAGCCCATCGCAGCTTTCGCGGTAGTACCGCAGCTGGCGGCCCAGCTGGTCCAGCTCACGCTGGCGCAGGTCCGTCTGGGTCAGGACAGCCTGCCAGCGCTCCAGCAGCTGCTGGACTCTCTCCCGGTAGCGGTCCAGGTCCACGTCGCGCTCACTGTGGCCCCTGACCATCCGCTCGTTGACGTCCTTGGCCTTGCTCAGGTCGGTCTCCAGCGTGCTGAAGAAGGGCTGGTGCCCCTCCGCCTGCACACGCAGCCGCTGCGGCAGACAGAGCAGTGGTCAGCGCCGGTCCCCCCCAGCTCCCCCCCAGCACGGTGCTGCCCCAGCCGTTACCTTCAGCTCAGCCTTGCTGGCCTCCAGCTCCTTGAGGTCAGCCGGCACGGTCTGCACATCCTTCAGCTGGTCCTCGTACTTCTTGACCAGCTCCTCTGCCCCCTGAGTGCTGCGGATCACCAGGTTGATGGTCTTCAGCCTGCGGAGAGAGGAGACGGGCTCAGCTGGTGCCAGAGCCCAGGCGGGCAGCAGCATCAGTCGGCACACAGCCGACGGGAAGGGAAGGGAAGGACTCGCTGGCACAGCCAGCTTCCTCCAGACCTCATCAGCCCACCCCGGGCCAGACCAGGCTCATCCCCGCCAATGCAACGGTTTTCCCCAGCCCGGGATGACCAAGGAGCTGCGCAGGGGCTGGGCACTCACTTCTCCAGGTAGATGCTGGAGAGGCTGTACACCTGGTCCATCTTCTGCAGGGTGATCTCCAGCTCTGAGCGCAAGATGGGGGCCGAGCTGGCCTGCTCTGGCTGGGCCAGCACCTTCTCTGTCTTCTCGCTGACCTTGTCCAGGTTCTTCTTGATGCCCTCCAGCTCCAGGTGGATTTGCTGTGGGGAGAGGAGGGTCCCTCACTCTCTGCCTGGTGCCAGGCTGCAGTTTGGGGCCGAGCCCTGCCTGTGGCTGATCCCCATATAACACCGTGCCAAACGCCGTGTCCTGCCAGCCAGGACCCAGCCTGCAGGGCCCCAGCCACCCCCGACCCAGGAGGAGAAGGAGCAGAGAAGGGGAAGGGGTCTGCAGCCCGCAAGTGTGGGTGGACAGACACCAGCCCTGTTCTGGGTGCCGAGGTCCCCGTCCGTGCACGTTGCACACCTGCAGACGCGCGTGTGCACACGTACCTGCTGCTCGGTGATGCGCTGGGCGCACTCCTTGACCGGGTCCTTGTCGAGAGGCAGGCGGATCTTGTGGATGGTGCGGGTCTCGCAGCCCTCCAGCTGCAGACGGATGTCCTTCAGCTGTGAGATGTAGCTCTTGCACAGGGACTCGTCCTGTTCTCCTGTGGGGACACCAGGGACGGGTTAGCGCCTTCCCGCTCTGTTCGCCCTGTCCGCATCCCCGGGGACGGAGGGGACGCCCCAGGGAGCACGGGGTGACAAGGAGGAGAGGCCTCACCTTTCTCCTGGCTGCGCAGCAGCAGCTCGTACTTCTGGGTGCAGGCATTGTACTCGCGCTCCACGTGCAGCCGGTCATCGGGCTGGAAGCTCTGCGAGTCCTGGCTGTCCCGCAGGAACTCCTGGTAGTGGGTCTCCAGGCTGCGCAGGACCTGCCGGCACTCCTCCACCTGCATTGTGCGGAACTGGGGGGCCGAAGGGTGCCGTCAGCCCCCGCCACCGGAGCGGGACCCCTGGGGACCCTGCCGGGCTGGGTGCTGCCCTGTGCTGGCACCAGGGGGGGACTCACCGTCAGGTGGGACCAGGACTGGATCTGCTGGATGTCGCGGATCAGGTACTGCCAGGACAGGAGGCTCCTCATGTCCAGGTGCAGCTGGTGCCAGAGCACGAGGAGGTGCTGGTGGGCGGCCTCCAGCCTGGGGAGAGATGGCGTGAGCGAACCGGGGGGCGAGGGAGGAGCGGCAGGGACCCCACGGCAGAGGGGAGAGCCGAGGACAGTGCTGCGGAGGTGGCCCAGGATGGGGGCGGCTGGCGCTCACCTGTGCACGGCATCCAGCGCCTCCTTGTTGGGGGGCGGCACAAGGAAGCAGACGGAGGGGACGATGGCTTCGCTGCCGGCGGCGCTCAGCACCCTCCACTTGTAGGGCTGGGCGTTGCTGAGCAGGGTGCACTCGTCGTTCTTGTGCACGGTGATCTGCGGGGCCAGGGCGGTGTGAGCACGGGGCAGGGGGTCCCCACGCGTCCCTCCCCGCCTGCCCCGCTCCCCGCTCCCCCTCGCACCTCTATTTGCTTGTAGTCGCAGACGGCCTGGATGGGCGGGCGGCCCTGGAGGTGGGTGCCAGGGCTGCGGGGCTTCAGCTGGACGATGGCCTTGGCGCGGCGGGCCAGCCCCGCCAGCTGCCCCCCGTACTCCGCC